TGAGAAAGATGGGATTTACTATCCTTGTATCTCCACACCTGACCTAGCGTAGAGGCTAGCACATGGAGCACTTTAACAGCATTTTACTGAAGGGAGGAATGGAGGAAGGAAAGAAGGAAAACAACTAATGATAATGGCTAACATCCAAATTTCAACTGACTGCTTATTGTGTACCAGACGCTGGGTTAAGCACTTTGCTTATTTAATCTAACAACCCAATCATAAAAATCACATATCCATTTTACAGCTGCGGAAACTGAGGCACACAGAAATGGGTGAATTGTAGCGCATGAGTGATTATGGCAGAACTAGGAGCAGCTCTGCTTGGGTTCCCTAAAACGTTTGTTGCTTTGACTGTTTTTCTCCTGAGCATGGGAATGAGATGAGGAGTAACTGTGAATATGGAGGAAAGAAGTAGAGCAGCAGATGTAATTTAGAAGACCAAACTCTCACACGTTCACATGTTATCTCACCTGAACTTCATTAACAACCCTAGGTCTCATTAACTGCACTTTACAGGTAAGAAACACAGAGGTAGGGAGGGAGTGGGAGACTCCCTTGTTTCCCTCAGGGTAGGGGAGAGTGAAATGAGAGGTAATGATAGGAGAGGGGGAGGTTGATCAGCTGGCCTCCCGTCTAACCTCCTTGGCAAGTTCACAGCATCCCCTGCACACTCCCGTAGCTAAGTGGAGCCAGCACCTCCCACTGAAAGGCAGGTCTCCCTCACTCTGCCCCACCCAGAGGTGGGTATCCCCTCACCGGGGACCCTGTGGAAGGAACAGACTAGATAAGGGCCAGGGCTGGTGTCAACGGCCTGGCAGAGCTGCCTTGTCACGCTTCCACTGTTCTGCTCCCCTCCAGGTTTCCTGCCTTACAGGGAGAACCCCCTTGACGCAGGCTCATGTGAAAAGTGAAACTCAGAACACCCAAAACCCGAATCTAAAACAGCCAAGAAATAAATATAAGATTGTGAGAAAAAAAAAGAAATTCACAGGACTTCCTGAGAAGGGGTCATCCCGGGTCTTTGCAGCTAAGAGAATCTGGACATGTCCTGCAGAAGCGCTTATGGGAACTTTCAGTCATGAATATGTATGGGACCTTGGACCCAAGGTTTCTGGAGATAGAGACAATGTCTAGAGAGGTCGGAAATGGAGCTTTCACTGTATACATTTTCATAGTGCCTGACTTCTTACCATGTGCATATATAACTTTTTCATTTTTATTTTCCATTTCATTTATATATAACTTTTTCAATTACAGAAACCCATTTTTTATTGTTGTTGTTGTTGTTTTTCCAGAGACAGGGTCCTGCCCTGTTGCCCAGACTGGAATGTAGCGTTGCAATCATAGCTTACCGCAGCCTCTAACTCGTAGGCTCAAGCAATCCTCCCACCTCAGCCTCCAAAGTAACTGGGACCACGGGCACATGCCAACACACCCAGTTAATTTTTTAATTTTCATTTTTTCATAATCATATATGTTTTTTAAACTTTTAGGTTCAGGAGTACATGTCCAGGTTTGTTACATGGGTAAATTGCATGTTACAAAGGTTTGGTGTACAGATTATTTTGTCATCCAGGTAATAAGCATAGTACCCAATAGGTAGTTTTTTGATCCTCTCCTTCTTCCCACCCTCCACCCTCAAGTGGGCCCCCATGTCTGTTGTATTTTTATTTTTTGTAGAGACAGGGTCTCGCTGTGTCAGGCTGAACTCAAACTCGCGGCTTCAAGCGATCTCCCACCTCAGCCTCCCAAAGTGCTGGGATTACAGGTGTGAGCCACCACCCCCAGCCTAAAAAACCATTTTTCGAAAGTTGCCTGCACCAGCGGAGACTGAGGTTGCAGTCCCTCTTCTGTGGTGGCTCATCTGCAAACCTTCCTGGCATGGTGGAGAGGAAGCCTGCACCGTCCTTCCTGTTAGGAGAGAACAGCGCAGTGCATGACACATTAGGGGTGGGTCACACATCCTGCGAACTACATGCACCTCCAAATTAGGCAGCTAATTATTCTGAGGATTCCAAGTCACGTTTAAAATCAGTGTCAGCTGAAGTAAAATCAGATGAGTAATGCAAACACACATTCTGGAATGCAAAACACACAACGCAGACTGCTGCTACTTCTTGGGAAGCTGGGCTCGGGCCTCTCAGGAGCTCCAGGCTGGGGGTAATGGTCATGACCCTGTCCTGGGAAGGAATAGGGACCATTCACCTCAGGTTAGGTTGGGTCCTGACGAAGGTGCCGGACTCAGGTCAGGATCACACAACCCCTGGGGGTCAGAGGGCAGAGGTGGAGGAAGGACAGAGCAAAGACAGTAGGTCGGACCTGTACAGGGAGTGTTCAGACCCAAGAAGAGAGACATGAGGGGCAGCATCCCACAGTCTTCCACAGGAAGTGCCCTCCTTCTGAGAAAGACAGCTGTCAAGTAAGGCACATGACAAGAATAGAAGCAGCTGGGGCAGTGAGTTGGAATCAGAGTCCAGAGGGTCGACAGAGGGGCTAAGGGATGCTCAAGGAAGCTCTGTAGAAAGTCTCTCTGGAGCTTAAAGCCCACAGCCTGCAATGTGAAAGGAAGGGAGTTGGTGGAAGGCTGCTTAGAGTTAGGGGAGTTGGGCACCATGCCAAGAGTGAGCGGATGCCCCCCTTTCTACTCCTGGGAGAATGTCCATCCTTCACGTCACTCTGATCACGTGTGGCTGGGCAAGTTCTTCTTCTCCACACTCTGCTGGCCCTTCTTTCCTGACTCCATCAAAGAACACCTCACCTTCTGAATAGCTCAACCCTACCTTGGAGTCTCAGGTTAGAAAAAAGATTACTTTCTTCATTCACCTGTTAACACCCACATGGCTTCCCTGCCTTTCCCAGCGTGTGTCAGAACTGTCTTCTTGCTACGATCTACTCACTCATGCTCCTGCTCCCAGGTCTTAGGGTCTTAGAAATACAAATTCACGGCTGGAGTTGGTGGCTCATGCCTCCAATCCCAGCACTCTGCAAGGCCGAGGCAATAGGATGGCGTGGCCGAGGAGTTTGAAACCAGCCTGGGCAACATGGCGAAACTCCCTCTCTACAAAAAATACAAAAGTTAGCCAGGCATGGTGGCATGCATCTGTGGAGGCTGAAGCAGGAGAACAGCTTGAGTCCGGGAGGTCAAGCCTGCAGTGAGCCATGATAGCTCCACTGCACTCCAGCCTGGGCAGTAGAGCAAGAAAAGAAAAGAAAGAGAGGAAGAGAAAGAGAGAAACACAGAAAAAGAAGGAAATAAAGAGAAAGAAGGAAAGAGAGAGAGAGAGAAAGAGAGAAAGGAGAGACAGGGAGAGTAAGAAAGAAAAGAAAAAAAGTAAAAGAAAAGAAAAAAAGAAAAAAAAAGGAGGGAGGCTGGGCAGCAGACCCTGAGGAAGAAAGAAAAGAGAAAGAGACAAATTTATTTAAATATCAAAACAAAAGAGAAACTGAACTACTGGTAGAAGTTTCCACCATAGAAAGTTTTCAAATTATTGGCTATTTGGAGTCATGCGCCCCCCTTCTCTGTTGCTAAGGCCCCAGAAGATTGCTGCACACGAGGCAGCACCGAAGAGGACCAGTGAGCAGCGCGGGCCCTGGCGGGGTAATTCCGAACACCGGCTTAGAAGGCGGGTTTACCAGGATTCTCATTCCAGCCCTGCCACTAATTGTTCAGGGTTCTCATCGAGCATGCACAGGAATCACCCTGAGGGCTTTTAAAAACACAAATCGCTAGGCCTAAGCCGAGTTTTGGAATATTTAGGTCTGGGGTTGGGCCCATTTCTTTTTTTTCTTTTTTTTCTTTTTGAGACGGAATCTCGTCTCTAAGCTGGAGTGCAGTGGTGTGATCTCGGCTCACTGCAACCTCCCCCTCCCGGGTTCAAGCGATTCTCCCGCCTCAGCCTCCCGAGTAGCTGGGATTGCAGACGCCCGCCACTACGCCCAGCTAATTTTTTGTATTTTTAGTAGAGACGGGGTTTCACCATGTTGGCCAGGCTGGTCTCGAACTCCTAGCCTTGTGATCCGCCCGCCTCGGCCTCCCAGAGTGCTGGGATTGCAGGCATGAGCCACCGCGCCCGGCCAAAAGTTCTAAAAAGTTGTCAGGTGATTCTGACTGGCGCTGCTGGTGGGGCGGACGGGGGGGGGGTCCCGCTTTGAGAAACACCCTCTGCTGTGTGAGGCAGCTGCCTCCCCAGTACATTCGGAATAATCATAGTAGTTATTAAAGTTTGCTGGGGCTGGGATTCACCTGATGCCTGGCACTTGGAGCCCTTGGCACAGTTCATGGCACACGGAATACAAGCTCTTGTTGGATGGAGCGCAAATGAGAAGCAAGCCTGGGGCAGGACCCCGGGGCCCACGGCCGCCTAGCTGCGTTTTCCCCTCCCGCGCAGGCCTCCGGGCTCCGAGCGCTCCGGGCGGGCGCGCAGCACATTCCGGTTCCATGCACGCGCCGCCCGCGGCTCTGCTAATGCCTCTCGTCTTTGGGGTGACTTGGACCCTCCAATCTTTTTCCGTGCTGAAAGCCTGGCCGCAGAGACCGCACCCCCGGGGCGGGCTGAGACGCAGAGAAGCCGGGGCGCTCCTCTGCCCGTCTGCCGGGAGTTCCCGGGCCCGCAGCACGCTGGGGACACGGCGGGAGCCGCTGCACCTGGCCCGGGAGGGGCGGGGCGGGCGCGTTCGGGCAGCTGGGGGAGGTCCCGCACCGGCCCCACCCTCCCGGCCGTCCGGTGGGGAAGCCCGGGAGCGGCTCCGCGGCGCGGCTGCGGCTCTGCCTCGGCGCGACAGGTAAGCGGCAGAAGGAGCCCGCGACCCTCTCCCCGGGAGGGTTCCCCTGAGTTCTCTGATTGCTTGGACTTCCCTCCGGCGGAGCTCGCTTCTGCCGAGTCCTCGCTCTCACCTCCTCCTCCGCCAGCCTTCGCCTCTTCCTCTTCCTCCTCACCACCCCCGACAGTAAAATGAAGGGGCTGGGCCAGGCTGGTCCCTCCTGCCTTCGCTCTCTGCTGGTCGCGGTGGCCTCTAGCTCCTCCCTCGGTAGGACCCCCCTCCACCTTGGCGCTTACGAGATGAATGAGGAGCCCAGGCCTCTGGAACTTGGAGGGGTGAGAGGGGGACCAGCCAGAGCCAGGGCTCCACACCCTCTTCCCCTCACCCATCCACGCCCTGCATTCCTTCTGTGCCCCGTCTCCCCAGGTCGGGCCACCCCATGTGCTTTGGTAAGGCAACTCTTCCAGAGAGGTTTCCTCCTGCCCTGCCACGTTGCGCCTGAGCAGAAGGGGACAGCGAGGAGAAGCCTCGCTGGTGGAGATGGGTCTGATCCTTGCTTGGTTGATTCCCTCCCGAGCCTGGGGGCTTTTGGGGGTGGGGAGGGATCTGCCTCCTGCTGCGGGGAAATGGAATCTGTTGGGTGTTCATGACTGACTGTCACCGACTTCCCTGTTTCCTCAGTTGTTCAGATTCCCAGGCTGACAAAAAGGAGAAACAGCTTTTACTTGCACTCAGGGCCAATCATCGCAGACCCAGACCTCTGCAGAGGGTAGGATGGGGCTCTTCTGTGTAAGGGGGTGGGGGGGCAGTCAGTTTGCCAGCAAAGCTTACAACAGACCCCTTCTAACAGCCGACAGCCCATTGCAGCACTCTCAGAAAGGGTGTTAACTCTATGCTCTGAGCTCGCCCCCAGGCCCACACACAATTTACAGGCACTGGGTGAGGTTCATAGTTCTGGACGCACCAAAGAGCCTCGAGGACTTTTGCTCCTTTTACCAGAGATATGTGTGCACCACACAGGACCTATTCTCCGCTCCAGACAGATGAGCTGTCTCCCTTCCCATCAAAGGAAAGGTTAAGAAGGATGAGACAGGCAAATTCATGTGGTGACCAAAACCAGGTCAGGTGAGGGGTTCGTAATATGCTTTGGTTTTAGCCATGTGTGGTGGCTCACGCCTGTAATCCCAACACTTTGAGAGGCTGAGTCGGGTGGATCACCTGAGGTCAGGAGTTTGTAGACCAGCCTGGCCAACATGGCAAAACCCCATCTCCCCAAAAAATACAAAAAATTAGCCGGGTGTGGTGGCAGGCGCCTGTAATTCCAGCTACTTGGGAGGCTGAGGCAGGAGAATTGCTTGAACCCGGGAAGGGGAGGTTGCAGTGAGTCGAGATCGCCCCATTGCAATCCAGCCTGGGCAACAAGAGCAAAGCTCTGTCTAAAATAAAAGAGAGAGAGAGAGAGAAAGAAAGATGCTTTGATTCCAGTTGCCTAGCAGGAGCCAGTAGCATTGCAGGCATTTCCCTAGCTCCAGTTCCTTAATGGTGCCAGGCACTTTAGGAACCCAGAGGTAATCAGAGAAAGCTGCTTCCAGGGGCACCAGGGCAGAGAGCAGGACAGGACCCTCAAAAGAAAGAGGGAAGTGTGCAGGAGACTGGGCTGCTCAAGATGACTTCACCTCAGTAATGCTGCCCACAGTCCTACAGTGGGCAGAACAGCTGACTCCTACCCGTAGCAGCATGGAAGAGCTCAGGGCAGAGAAGGGGAGGCCCTGATGTGTGTCAGGTGCCCTGTGAGGTCAGAAACATATTAGCCCAAGTTCAGCTGGAAGAAGTGGGGACAGGGAATATGAGCATGAACTTAGTCTATGCAACCATTGCCTCGAACAGACCTCAGGACCAGAAGGAGCAGCTAACCCTAGGGCTGAGGGCCTCTCAGAGCAGGGAGGCAGTGAGTATCATGGAGGCAGGCAGCTGACTCAGCCCTGTCACTAACTTCGATGTATAACCTTAGCCAAACACATAAACACTCCCTGGGTGGGGAGCAAATGAGAAGGTGTATATGAAGTGTTTTGGCAAAGCTCCAAGCACCAGTCAAATGCAAGACAATGTGATGTCATAGTTAAGAGAGAGGGCTTTGGAGATGCATAGGCCTGAACGCAAATTCTGCCTCTGCTACGTTTCTAGCTGTGTGACCTTGGTCAAGTTACTTCACCTCCCTGTGCTTCAGTTTCCTTCTGTGTAAAACAGAGAAGATAACTAACTTGATTTGATATGGTAAGCAGTAATATTTAAAATGGTGATGGCATTCTCCTTAGCATCTTCTGGCTCCCACGGATGTGTTTCAACATCTCCAGCCCTGGAAGTGATGCTGAAGACCAGGTTGGGTGTGTCCATGCCGTAGCTTGGGTGAACTCAGCTCTTTACACAGCCCTCTGCCCGTTTCTGGGAAAGCCCAAATGTTCATTCTCATTTGATAGGGACGAGACTGAGGATTTGAAAAAGCAGGAGGTTAAGTGCAGGGCAGTGCCTGCCTCTGTGTCGAGCTCAATGCTGCAATTGTGCTGTGTAAAAGGCCTGTGTGGTGAACATGGGTGAGCTCACTGCAGGGAGGAGAAGGACTGTTAGAAGACTTTTGTGGCACCTGACAGCCCTGTGGGATCCGCTTATTCTCTTGTACCCTGAACAACCTGGTCCTAAGGCCTAGGTAGAGATTTGAAGGAAGAAAGCAACCCAGTCCTCAGCTCTGCATATAATAGAGAATGAAGGACAGACTAGCAAAATAGCATTGCCATACACCACAGAGGGTGTGACAGGGATTGGAAAGCCAGGTAGATTGGTCAGGAAGAACATTCTGGAGACAGAAGTTTGGGGACCAAGACTCAAGGATTGGGAAGGAGAAGGAAAACAGGATCCAGGTGGTCTGGCGTCTGGGCCTGTTGGTTCTCCCTTCTCCATGATATTTAGTGGGGAAGTCCCACATAAGGAAAGCTCGGATAGTAGAGAAACTTGGAAACAAATAACACCTAGAAACTGAGGCAGCAAGATGCCCCTTAGTCTCGGAAGCCCTCTTGAAAGAAGGGAGTCTCTGGTAAGAATCTGAAAGAAAAGAAATACGGCTTGCTTAGCAAGAATATAAGGAAAAGGCTTTGAGGAGGAAAAGATAGCCAGTGAGTGCCAAGCATCTGGCTGGGCTTGAGGGTGAACAGCAAACAGGAAGCAACCCGGCCAGGCCCTCTGTGTTTCTGCCACAGTCAAACAGTACTCAAGGAATATGAATACGGCTGTCCTGATTGTGAAAGAGAGAGAGGGGCCTGAGGCAAAGGTGGCTGGCAGCAGCTCCTGCTGATCCTCCAGATGCTGGTTGATAAAGACGCAATTTCAAATGAAGGTTTTGAAAGCAGAAAGGACGGTGAGGAACCAGGAGGCAGGGAATGAATCAGCAGGACTTGGGAGCGGGTGTGGGGTGAACCTGAAATTGAGACAGGATTAAAAAGGACATGTCTGAAGACTGGGACAGGGGCTGGCTTGTTTCAAGGACTTTGATGCTTCTGGCAGCAATGGGAAAATTGGGAAGGCTGGCTAGCATAGGAGGCTGGGCACAGACCCTGAGCCCAGGGGATGGTACACTGAGTAGCCAGTGGCCCCAGGTAAAAGTTCTGCAGCCAAGAGCAGACGGGGGGCCGGGGGGGTGAGGAGAGAAGGAAAAATTCAGTTCTAGTCTCTCCCATTAACCCTCCTTCCCAATCTGAAGACTGGCCCAAGAAGCCTTTGGGAATACCCTTCCTGTCTTCCACCCTTCTCATCAATTCCCTGTCTCTTCTCTGTCCTTTCCCCCAACTGCCCACCTCAAGCCCAGTCTGGTTGTCGCCAAGGCTCCTAGGTGATTAGAGAATCCCACCTTGTCCCCACCTGGAACCCTCCCTCCTTCACTTCTGCTCTCCTAGGGATGAACCGTTGCATACCCCTGTCCCACCTGGCAGGGCCTACAGGGTCTCCAGTGAAAAACCTGTGAACTGTTGAACCTCCTGTTTGGTGGCATATTATTTTGATTTTTGGTGACTTTTTCTTGGAATAAGTCAACAAATATTAACCGAGAGCCTACCACATGCCAAGCACTGCTCTAGGTATACAGTGGTGAGCGAAGTTAGGTTGAGTTTTTCAATAGAAAAATCCACGTTTGGGTAATTTAAGCTTAAAATATGCAAACAGGCTGGGCGCATTGGCTCACACCCGTAATCCTAGCACTTTGGGAGGCCAAGGCAGACAGATCACTTGAGGTCAGGAGTTCAAGACTAGCCTGGCCAACATGGTGAAACACTGTCTCTACTAAAAAAAACACAAAAATTAGGCCTGAAGTGGTGGCGGGTGCCTGTAATCCCAACTACTCGGGAGGCTGAGGGATGAGAATTGCTTGAACCCGGCCACGCACGGTGGCTCAAGCCTGTAATCCCAGCACTTTGGGAGGCCGAGACGGGCAGATCACGAGGTCAGGAGTTCGAGACCATCCTGGCTAACACGGTGAAACCCCGTCTCTACTAAAAAATACAAAAAAAAAAAACTAGCGGGGCGAGGTGGCGGGCGCCTGTAGTCCCAGCTACTTGGGAGGCTGAGGCAGGAGAATGATGTAAACCCGGGAGGCGGAGCTTGCAGTGAGCTGAGATCCGGCCACTGCACTCCAGCCTGGGCCACAGAGCGAGACTCCATCTCAAAAAAAAAAAAAAATTATGCAAACATAAAATGAACCTTGAGATGTAGGGGGAACTTGATAGACTAGCTACAGAAATAATTTCCAGTGTATCTTCCTGGGAAAATAAGCCATAGTATTGCAGCTTGAGTCTTGGGGAAAAGCTGAAGTGTCTTGAAGGTGTAATTATGGGGAAAAGTAAAAACCTCCCACATTCTGTGATCAAAAGGGTCAGGGGTGGGAGGAGGGCTTTGGAGGAGATAATTTGCTCTTCTGTTCACAGCATGAGTAGAGAGGACTTGAGATGAGTGCTGTGTTTGATGGAGAGAAAGTGCTTATGAGGAAGAAAGGACAGTCATTTGGCCAAACAGCGTCTCAGCCCCATTTCCCCCACCAGTAGCGTGAAATTGACCTGCCCCCTCCCCAATATGATGTCTAGCTCCATACACCTGTGCGCCTGGTAAGATGGTGACAGTCTTCACTTTCCAAAGAAACTTGTAATTGAGCCCTCCTCTGCGTAACTTGAGCAAATATCCCTGTGGTGAGGACTGCTTGCTTCCTGCTGCCACGTCTAAGGAGGTGACCAGCTCAGCTGAGAAACAGAAAGAAACATTGTTACAGAGAGGCCACCTGGCCAGCTAGGGCGTGTTCTGGATGGCTGACTCACATTCACAAAAGCTAAGACTTTGCCTGGGACTTCCAGTTTCCGTATCTTTAAAGCATTTTTATCCCTGAGTGGGAGGAGGGCAAATACCAGGAAGGGGATCAAAGGGTAAAGTCGGTGAGGCTCAGGGAGGACAGGCCTGGTCCCCAAATTCCCTACTCAACCTCCAAGGGTACGAGTGTGGTAAACAGAGTAGTGGTCTAGGAGTTGGGAGATCGGGTTCTACTCCTGGGAGCCACTAGCCGTGTGTTGGTAGAGAAGTCATCTAACCACTCTGGCCTCGCTGATGATAAAATGAGGGTGTCAGACTCACAGACAGACCTAGTCAAAACAGCAACCTAATGTGTAATGGCAGAATATCCTGTAACTCAAGTACTTCTTGCAGTAAGTGCATTCAGAACATCATTTAGTGAAACCAGTGCTCCACATTTAAGCCATCCAGCCTCATCTCATTTAACAAGAGTTTGTGGAACTAGCCAGGCCTGATGGCACAGACCTCTGTAGTCCCAGCTACTCAGGAGGCTGAGATAGGAGGATTGCTTGAGCCTGGGAGGTTGAGGCTGCAGAAAACCGTGTGTTCATGCCACCACACTTCAGCCTGGGTAACAGAGTGAGACCCTGTCTCTGTCTCCAAAAAAAAAGAACAGTTTATGGAACACCTGCTATGTGTAAAACTTGTGCTAGACTTTGCAGGTGATAAAAAGTTGAAAACAGCATGGCCTCTCTGGTCCCGGAGTCCATAAACACACGGTGGGCTGTGATGAGACTGGAGTACAAATAAAAATTGGGTGCTAAGGGGCAAAGCAGGGAAGAGATGAATTCTGCTGGGAGATCTGAGAAGGCTTTTTGGAGGGGGGCTAGAATATAAACTGCGGGGTTTGGACTGTGTCGCTGGCTTTCAAACTTCTATGACTGGACCAAAGTGAGAAATACACTTTTATAGCAAGACCTGGTACTTGTTATATGTGACAGAGCATCCCAAAAATCTTGGGACAGTTTTATAATTTAACCATATTACAAGCGTAAATTCTACAAACCATAAAAAACTATCATTTGAAAATTGAGTCATTTAAACTTCTTTTGTCTTTAGATGTATGAATTTTAAATAGCAAATTTATCATTTAAATTTTGTATCAGGCAGTGTGTATCTTTAATAGACTGAAACAAACATTAAAATAAAAGTTTTCTTTTCAGGCTGGACGTGATGGCTCACACCTGTAATCCCAGCACTTTGGGAGGTCGAGGCAGGAAGATTGCTTCAGCCTAGGAGTTGAAGACCAACCTGGGCAGCATAGTGGGACCGCATCTCTACAAAAAAAAAAAAAATTAGCCAGTCGTGGTGACACACACCTATGGTCCCAGCTACTCCAGAGGCTGAGGTAGGAGGATCCTTTGAGCCCAGGAGGTCAAGGCTGCAGTGAGCTGAGATTGCGCCACTGCACTCCAGCCTGAGGAACAGAGTGAGACCCTGTCTCCAAAAAAAAAAAAGAAAGCAAAAGAAAAAACGAATACTTGCCTGTGTTACATGTGATACGTGATGCACTTTGATATTTTCTTTTTCATTCTATTCTGGGTTTTTAAAATTTCTTGAGTTTTATTTTTTGAGACAGGATCTTGCTCTATTGCCCAGGTTGGAGTGTAGTGGCACGATCATAACTCACTATAGCCTCAACCTCCTGGGCTCAAACGATCCTCCAGCATCAGCCTCCCAAGTAGCTGGGATTACAGGCATGTGCCACCATACCCGGCTAACTGGTCTCTTTTTGCTAACTGATCTTTTATTTTATTTATTTATTTCTTTGAGACAGAGTCTTGTTATGGCTGGAGTACAGTGGTACGATTTCTGCTCATTGCAACCTCCGCCTCCTAGGTTCAAGTGATTCTCCTGCCTCAGCCTCCTGAGTAGTTGGGATTACAGGCACCTGCCACCATGCCTGGCTAATTTTTGTATTTTTAGTAGAGACAGGGTTTCACCATGTTGGTCAGGTTGGTCTGGAACTCCTGGACTAAAGTGATCTACCCACCTTGGCCACCCAAAGTGCTGGGATTTCAGGTGTGAGCCACTGTGCCTGGTCCTAACTGTTCTTTTAAAGAATTTTTTGAATGCTGATTTGCAACACTCTGAATTTATTTTATAATATCACAGTGGATTGTAATCAGCAGTTTGATACAAGCTGGGCTGGGTAAAGCCTCAGTTCCTTACACCAATGAGAGAAGGTAAGTTCATGTTCTGGCCAGTGGGGCCAGGGAAGCAAATCCCATTTGTTCAATCTAGGCAGGCTTTTCAGAGAGGATTTCTGGCATCATCTCAGGATCAAAGCCAAGGATGGTCTGAGAAGTTGCAGGCCCAAGGGTAGCTGGAGGAAACAGACTTGGGAAGAAATGCTGAGCCACAGCAAGAGGGAAATGAGTGGATGGGGGCTGCGGGCACACTTGCCAGGAGAGCAGGAGGCCAGGTGTGGGAGCCCAAAGGTGAGGGAGATACACAAGACACTAGGGGTAGATCTCGTGAAGCTCTGTACTTGAAAGAATAGCAAAGAATAGCAGCTATTCTTTCTCCAAGGCTGGCGGAGGGGCGACCTCCAGGACCTTGCTAACCATACTTCTGGGAATCATCTCCTACACAGGGAGCAAAAGTCCTTAACCCCAAAGTCCTGTGACTTGCACTAGATTCTGTCTCTTCTAAGGGACTCTTTCCTGTTGCCCTCATGCTAAGCAAACAAACTAGGGAATGAGTGCCTCACCACCAAATCTAATCCCAGGTGTCTCATTTCAGTTCAGGATGTGGTTAGTACCTTGAGGAACTGCAGGTTTCAGAGAGACAGAGCTTCAGGCAGCCAGATGGGATCGAGAGATTAGATGCCTAGGAAGAGCTCAATTTAACCCTAGATTTCTTTCTCCAGGGAAAATAAAAGAAGCAAAGACAGACCCTGCTGCGAGGGACCACGAGGCAGTGCCAGGATAAAGGAGTTGGAGTAACCTGGATGATTCTGAGTGAGTCAGTCAGGGGGCCTTCCTGGAGGGGGTGAATCTTGAGCGCTGGCAACAGCTAGTAACTACAATGTTACCACGCCTTTGTTTCTAACTGTGCTCCCTCTTTCTTGCTGGAGTGGGAAGGTAGATGGAAAGTAGCAGGAAAAGATGCAGCCTGCAGGGACGGTTCAAAGCTGTCATGGCCAACACTCCCCCATTCTGTAGGCCTCTGTGTGGGCTTAGCCAGGACAGTTCCAGAATGGATGAGGTGTCTAGCCCAAGTGAATCCCCTGTGCTAGCCCCAGCATAGCTCAACCTCTGTGACAAGAAATTCCTGCTGCACTGAATCCCCATTTCCTCCCCGAGCCCACAGGGAACTCCACCTCTCTCAGCTTAGCACTTACTGTCTGTGCTATTCTGCTTTCATTTTATTCATTTTTGAATGAGTAATATAGTCAGAGTTCAAAGTACAAAAGAGTATTCAATGAAAGGTCCTTTTCCTGCTCCTGAATCCCCCCGGACAGGTGCTTCCTTCACCTGGTCAGTGCTGCCAGTTCCCGTTCTCTAACAAGATTTTCAAATCCCTTGGGAAAAGGAATTGAGCCTTTGTGTCCCTCTGTGTACCAGATGGGGTAAACTGTCCCACCCCATCACCCAAGGGGGTCTTCCTAGCACCACACCCTCCCTCTTCCATCCACACTGCTACTAACTCTCCTGGGTCAGATTCCGAATGGGTCATCCAGCTGCCAAGCAGGTCCCTTTCCAAGATACCCTCCACCGCTGTCATATTGCTCTTCCTGTAATGCTGGGCTCCCAGCTTAACGCTTTATTACTCCCCATGCCTTGGGTCAAGGGCAAATGCTCCTCAGCATGATGAACAAGGCCCTTAGGACTTGGTTTCAGCCACCTCTGCAGGCCTGATTTCTGCTACTCCTGCCATACCAGACTGCTTACAGTTCTGTGACTGGCTCTGCTGTCTCCCACCTCTAGATCTTTGCAGGTACTGTGCCTTCTGCCTGAAATGTGCTCACCTCGCCTCGCTGACTCCTACTCACCGGTTAGTGCTCGGCCCAAGTTTCTGCCCCCGTGAGATTTGTTCACAGATGTTGCCCTCCCCCATTTGCTGTGTTTCCTGCATGCCGTCTCCTTCAGCACTCAAGGGTACCTCTTTCATTCTGCTTCTCGCAGGGTAATCTCTGTTTAAAATCTGATGCCCCCAATTGACTGTAGGATCCTTGAGGGCTGGCCTTGCACTTCTCTGTGTCCCCTGCCTCTTGCAGAGTACCTATAGAGGCAGTTATTCAGTAAATACTGGTGGAATAAACAAATCTCTCCTATCTCCTAGACATTAGTTAATATAAAATAGATGCTCCAAGAGATTTCTTTTGTTTGATTTTTGATGGTGCTGCTGAATCTGATGTTATAAAAGAAGCCACATTTCTACCCCAGTCCAGAGTGAATCCAGCTCCCCACTTGAGATCATGATGGCCAAATACTCCCAAGGTCTGACACCAGGCCTCTCCACAGGCGGGAGCTTGTGCATTTAAACAATAGGCACCAAATAGTTCAACCAGAGTTATTTTTAAGCAAAACATGCAGGGAGTAATGAACGTGGCTTTGACCAAGGGCCAGGTGCTTGAGGATAACTGCTGGGAAGTGAAGCAGGGGTTTATTATAATAAGAGAAATAAATGATACCATTTATTGAGGGCTTAGTATGACAGGTGCTCTGCCAAGCATTTTACCTAAATTATCTGATTTAATCCTCCCACACAATCCTATGAGTTAGGTATTAGTTGCCCCCACTTTATAGATGAGGAAACTGAGGTTTAGAGGGATTAAGTAAATCACCCAAGGGTCACACAGCTGCTAATGATCAAAACTAACACTTTCTGGGAACTTACCATGTGCAGAGACTGCAAAGCTTTGTCCATGAGTTCTGCGGGGAAGGAACATAATCCTTATAATAACCCTAGGAGGTAGGTGCTACTACTAGAAGAGGAAGAACTGGAATTTGTGCCCAGGTCCCTTGCCACCAATGTCTAGTGCCTAATCAGTGAGCTTATGTGTCCAGAACTCTGCACAGAAAGTTCTGCAAGCATTCATCCTCTAGGGCGTAGATCCACATGCCTGGGGGTGGAGGCTGGTGAACGCCCATGCCCAGCCCTGCCCGGAATGTGTTGTCATGAAATCTTAGGTTTCTGTTAAATTTTTAAGTAGATACAGATAACTTTTATTTATTTTTTTAGAGACAGAATCTCTCTGTCACCCATGCTGAAGAGCAATGGTGCGATTATAGCTCATTGCAGCCTTAACCTGCTGGGCTCCAGCAGTCCTCCTGCTTTAGCCTCCCAAGCAGCTAGGACTACAGTATGCACCACTATACCTCGCTCATTTTTAAAATTTTTAGTTGAAATGGGCTCTCAATACGTTGAGCAGACTGGTCTTGAACTCCTAGGCCCAAGCGATCCTCCCACCTCAGCCTCCCAAAGTGCTGGGATTATACCATGCTCGGCCAATAAATATTTATAAAATATGTATAGGGTATAAAGAATTACAATCCACCAGCAGCCACCATCCACTTCCAAAAAAAAAACACTTTGAAGTCCCCTGTTACCCATCGCTAATCCTGTACCTTTTTCTTCATCTTCAGAAATTGGTTATATCATTTCTTTCGCTTTCTTTTTTTCAGGGGGGAACGGAGTCTTGCTGTGTTGCCCAAGCTGGAGTGCAGTGGCATGATCCCAGCCTACTGCAACTTCTGCCTCCTGGGTTCAAGTGATTCTCCTGCCTCAGCCTCCCTAGTAGCTGGGATTATAGGCATGTGCTACCATGCCCCGGCTAATTTTTGCATTTTTAGTAGAGACGAGGTTTCATCATGTTGGCCAGGCTGGTCTTCTTTAGCTTTCTTTATAGCTTTATCACATATTTGTATTCATGAACAAGATATTGTTTAATTTTAGCATGTTTTTACATTTTCTATAAGTGGAATCATACTGTACGTATCACTTTGTCACTTGCTTTTTTCACCCAACAACACATCCACATTGTTGCACGGAGAAGTGGTTCATTCTTGGTCATCACCGTAGAGCACTGCATGGTATGGGTATTTTGCACTTTATTTATTCATTCTGCTGGTGGACTTAAAGGTTTTACCAGTTTGTTGCCATTTTAGTCAGTGTTGGCTTAAATGTTCTTGTACGTACCTCTTGGTTTGCATGTACCAGAGTTTGTCTGGGATATGAAACAAGGAGTGGAATTGCTGGCCCAGGCTGTGTTCATTTTAAATTTTTCTTGATAATACCAAGTTGTTTCCCAAAGCAGTTATAATGATTAAATCTCATGAGTTTAACGATTAAATCTCATGTAGTGTTTCAGTGTTCCAGTGACTCTAGATCCATGCATATTAGGATCTTAGGGCAGGAAAGAAACACTGCCTCCAGTCTTCTCATTTTACGGATGAAGGAAATGCAGATACGGGAAAGTTGTGGCTAGTAAGGTGATGCCACCACTCAGCAACAGAGCCTGGCCTCGAACCCCAAGCGCCTGACTCCCTCCTTACTCTGTCTTGACTCACTTCTCTCTCTCGTCCCCTCCTTTCTCAGGCTGAGGCCCCAGCTTGTGGCCACCACAACGTATCAAGCTATTTCCAGGGTTGGGCTCAGGACTTGGAGCTGACGCAGCTGGGGTCCCTCTTGGTTCTGGAGGATGAGGCTCCTCCGCAGACACCACACGCCCCTGCGCCTGGCCATAGTGGGCTGCACCTTTGTGTTCTTCCTCTTCCTCCTGCATAGGGACGTGAGCAACAGGGAGGAGGCCACAGAGAAGCCGTGGCTGAAGTCCCTGGTGAGCCGGAAGGATCACGTCCTGGACATCATGCTGGAGGCCATGAACAACCTTAGAGATTCAATGCCCAAGCTCCAAATCAGGGCTCCAGAAGCCCAGCCGACTCTGTTCTCCATAAACCAGTCCTGCCTCCCTGGGTTCTATACCCCAGCTGAACTAAAGCCCTTCTGGGAACGGCCACCACAGGATCCCAATGCCCCTGGGGCAAATGGAAAAGCATTTCAGAAGAGCAAGTGGACCCCCCTAGAGACCCAGGAAAAGGAAGAAGGCTATAAGAAGCACTGCTTCAATGCCTTTGCCAGCGACCGGATCTCCCTGCAGAGGTCCCTAGGGCCAGACACCCGACCACCTGAGTAAGTAGTGCCCAGAGTCCTTGTGGGGAGACCAGGGCTTTGCTAAAGGTGTGACTGGTATGGCCAGGGCCACAGGTCAAGGGCCAGAGAAAGAGTTGAAGGGAATTTTATAATATGGGCAAGGATCTCCTCTGTGCCTCACTTCTTTCCCAGAACAACTATGCTGATCCCAGGGGTTGTGGTTCAAGGGTATTATGGTCAGGCCAGAGGTCCAAGGAGACCTGTAAGAGTGAAATGCAATCATGAAAGTGAGATGATGCAGAAGAAGGAACTCAGCCTGGCACCAGGACCTGACCCGGGGTGACTGGGGAGACCTGATACCAAGTGGTGGCTTCAGTAGCTTTCTCCTCTACTGAGGCCTGCCCCAGAGACTGTGGGACTCGAATGCTGAGCTGTTTGGAGCAGGGGCATTTCTTAACAGCAGCCCTGGTGGTCAGGAATATCCTAACACCTGGTTTCCTCCAGTGAAGGTCCGCAAGGCCGCGAATTGATTCCAACCTTTATTTTAAGTTGTTTATAGCCTCAATCTTGCACAATGAGATATCACTTAGATCTTTGAGTGGCAGCCCCCTCCCTCTAACGCCCCCATGGCTGCATTCCCATGATCCTCAAGTTAAAGACAGTGTGTCTTCCCCACTTAGCCTTTGTCTTTTCCAGCTCAAGTGTTATACCCTATTTGGCCTTCTCTCAAATGGCAGCCCTCATCCCCAGATTCATGAGTCTTTAGGGCTGTGAACCTGAGGTTCTTGAGACTTGAGCCAAGTATTATAGTTCTAGAACAAGGGGCCACTGGAAGCTATCAGGAATTCCTCAGCAGAGAAGGGCACTGGGGCCAGGCGCAGTGGCTCATGCCTATAATCCCAGCACTATGGGAGGCGAAGGCAGGCGGATCACTTGAGGCCAGGAGTTCAAGACCAGCCTGGCCAACATAGTGCAAGCCTGTCTCTACTAAAAATACTAAAAAGTTAGCCTGGCATTGTAGTAGGTGCCTGTAATCCCAGCTACTTGGGAGGCTAAAGGACGAGAATTGCTTGAACCTGGGAGGTGGAGGTTGCAGGGAGCTAAGATCATACCACTGCACTCCAGCCTGGGCGACAGAACAAGACTCTGCCTCAAAAAAGAGAGAGAGAAGAGCACTGGGTGTGACAACAGCCAGTGGAGGAAGCTGGGGAATCTCTCTGGAGGGTCCCCAAGAAATCCTCTGACCAGCAGAGGAGGTCAAGGAAAGGGTGTGAGGTCACATGATTCCTTGAGATCCAGGATTCACACCTTCTCACCCCCACCCTGAGATGGAGTGTCAAGAAGGTAGTAGTGTGGCCAAGTGCCACAGAGTGGCTGGAGAGGATAAGGATGGAAGAAAGGTCTCAGGAAATTGACTGTTTGTGATGGTGGTGTCAGATCACAGGGAGTTAATGAGAAAATGGATTAGAGAGGAACTGTATGCTGTAAAGGGAAGAGGCCTTTCTTCTCATTGAGTATGGAAATCATAGTCACTTTTCTCAGATGTCAAATTTGGCCTTTATTACCTACCCCTCTGGGACCTCTGCATTGGATTACATTTTATGCAGTTCACATATTACGGAGGAAGAGAGCCAGCCCTGGGAACTCCTAGCCTGAGAGCAGACAGCAGATGAGGGAAGAGGGTGGAGGAGCCTCAGCATCACAGCTGGGGCACCGAGCCAGCTCTGTGGGGATGGATTTTGGAGTGGTTTGGCTAGAACCTGTGCAGAGGCTCAGGGTGGGTGGCACATAGCGGAGGAGACAGGAACAGGGAGCAGCTGTTTCCACCTGCTACAGAGAATGTAGGCTGTGGTTCAGAGGAGTGGAGGATGGTTTGGGGGACTCTCTGGACGGGGCGCTTCCCACACCTGGCACTCCCAGGGACCAGGAGAACTTTGTCCGTACTTTCATACTTCCAGGTGTGTGGACCAGAAGTTCCGGCGCTGCCCCCCACTGGCCACCACCAGCGTCATCATTGTGTTCCACAATGAGGCCTGGTCCACGCTGCTGCGAACAGTGTACAGCGTCCTACACACCACCCCTGCCATCTTGCTCAAAGAGATCATATTGGTGGATGATGCCAGCACTGAGGGTGAGGCTGGAGGGGCCCAGAGGAGGGGGCCGGGGTCTCCCCTGGGCACTCAAAGGAGGAGGACAGGTCCTTTCAAGGGAGCAGGCACCACCTCAGAGCCTGTTGCCTGGCGTTACAGCTCATCTTAAAGGCCAGGAGCAGGAAGAAGTCAGGTAGGGGCAGGTAGACCATGCTTCCTTCATGCCTCAGCCAAAGAGCTCCAAGAGCTTTTCAGCTCTGGCTTCAAGACTCCCTCCCTGAACACTGCCAAGGCCAACCCTAACTCAGAAATGCTGGGAGAGCCAGGGCAGAGGGTAGGGACAGGGCTTCGCCTCTGTTTCCTACCTGCTGGGCCACTCTTCTGCTCTTGAAGACTCCCCAACCAGCCCTTTTTGCCATAGCTGTTGATAGATAAGTGGGGCCTCACGAAACTTCCAGTCTTCAATTCCACAAACATCTACTGAGTACTGTGTGCCTGCCTCTGACCCAGGCAGAGGGGATGCCATGACAAAGGAGACAGACCCTGCCCTGAAAATACTAAAAGCCCCCATAGGTCAGAAGCCTTTTTTTTTTTGAGATGGAGTTTCGCTCTTGTTGCCCAGGCTGGAGTACAATGGTGCAATCTCGGCTCACCACAACCTCCGCCTCCCAGGTTCAAGCGATTCTCCTGCCTCAGCCTCCCGAGTAGCTGGGATTACAGGCATGCGCCACCACGCCTGGCTAATTTTGTATTTTTAATAGAGATGGGGTTTCTCCATGTTGGTCAGGTTGGTCTTGAACTCCCGAACTCAGATGATCTGCCTGCCTCGGCCTCCCAAAGTGCTGAGATTACAGGCATGAGCCACTGCGCCCGGCCAGAAGCCTCTTACAACACTAGCCACAGTGCTGTGGCAGTGATGCACCTGTAACAGGTGTGAAAAGGCATGGACTGCAGAGTCCAACACCCAGGAATTCAAATCCCAGCTCTGACCCTTCTTAGTTCTGTGACCTTGGACAAGCATTTGATCTCCCTGAACCTGTTTCCTCTTCAAAAAATGGGGGCAGACCGGGCATGGTGGCTTAAACCTGTAATTTCAGCACTTTGGGAGGCTGAAGCGGACAGATCACTTGAGGTCAGGAGTTTGAGACCAGCCTGGCCAACATGGTGAAACGCCAAAATACAAAAAACAATTAGCCGGGTGCGGTGGTGTCCACCTGTAGTCCCAGCTACTCGGGAGGCTGAGGCACGAGAATCACCTGAACCCAAGAGGCATAGGCTGCAGTAAGCCAAGACGGCACTACTGCTTTCCTACCTGAGCGACAGAGTGAGACTCCATCTCAAAAACACAAAACAAAAAAAGGGCTGGGCGTGGTGGTTCACGTCGGTAATCCTAGCACTCTGGGAGGCCGAAGTGGGCAGATTGCTTAAGGTCAGGAGTTCGAGACAGCCTGGCCAACATGGTGAAAACCCGCGTCTACTAAAAATACAAAAATTAGCCAGGTGTGGCAGTGCGAGCCTGTAATCCCAACGACTCGGGAGGCTGAGGCAGGAGAATCGCTTGAACCCAGGAGAAGGCAGAGGTTGCAGTGAACCGAGAGCAAGACTCCGTCTCAAAAAAAAAAAAGAGCAGTTGAGTCCCTTACATGGTGGGGGAGGAATCTGAGATAGGTCATAAATGAGATTCATGTGCCACAGAATGGCTGGCACCAGGTAAGAGTGTCACAAGCATGCGTTCCATTTTATTCATGGTACAGGAGCAATGCGCCATGGAGTATGTAGCCAGGAGGTTCCATTTCTGCCTGGGGTGGCTAGGGCTGCTCTGAGTAGAGGCCAGATTGCAGCTGGGCCTTAAAGGATGAGTGTCTAGGAGAGAAGAGTGGATGAAGGGCATTCCCGCAAGAGAATGGCATAAGCACAGTCTTAGAGACATGAATGTGTTTGTTAAAGAGATCTGGTGTGGCTGAAGCTTAGGTTTGTTATAGGAAATAAGACTTAAAAGATGTTAAATTGGGCAGGGACAGTGGCTCACCCCTGTAATCCCAGCACTTTGGGAGGCCGAGGCGGGTGGATCACTTGAGCCCAGGAGTTCGAGACAGCCTGGGCAACATGTCGAGACCTTGTCTCTATAAATATTACAAAAATTAGCCGAGCATGGTGGCATGTGCCTTTAGTCCCAGCTACTTGGGAGGCTGAGACAGAGCACGACCCTGTCTCAAAAAAAAAAAAAAAAAAAAAAGTTGAATTGACATTCATGTCATGCTAAAAGCATTTATTTAGAAAGTAAGAAGGAGTCGTTGAAAGTGCTTCATCTGGATTGTGACCCCGTTTCAGAAGGATGTCAGCTTTGGAGGAGGATAATCGGCAGGAAGAGAGGCAGAGGACTCAGAGTCTGAAGAGGAAGTTCTTACACTCACTTGAGAGTAGGAAATAATGGGGCCGGAACTAGGAAGGGCTGTGGGACTGAGGCACCATTAGGCTGAGACTCTCCAGAAGCTGAATCTTCCTTGCAGGAGGCATGTGGTATCTGGGGCTCCCCCAGGTTGACCTCCTGTGCTCAAACTCCCAATAGTGAGGGCAGGAACTGACTCCACACTTTCCAGCGTAAGTGCTAGGGCCACTCCAGTAGAGCTGCTTCCTGTCCTTGTCCTCCCCTAGCCTCCCTCCTGCCTCTAGGTTAGGAGTGTTGCTGAAAAGAGGACTAGGGCTGTGGAAGGCAGTGGAAGGAAGGGCTGAGTGTGAGCCCTGTTGAGTTCATTTCTTCAGGGAACTCACATCTTCCCAGGGAAGACAGATACTTGGCAGCACTTACAAAGCAACATAACAAAATCCCATCTCTATAAAAATGAAAAATTAGCAGGCATAGTGGTATATGCCTGTGGTCCCAGCTACTTGGGAGGCTGAGGTGGGAAGATCACTTGACCCCAGGAAGTCGAGGCTGCAGTGAGCTGTGATTGCACCATTGCACTCCAGCATGGATGACAGAGTGAGACCTTGTCTCTAAAAGAGATACAAATAAAGTAAAATAGGCCAACCACAGTAGCTCATGCCTATAAACCCAGAACTTTGGGAGGCCGTGACAGGAGGATTGCTTGAGACCAGGAGTTCAAGACCAGCCTGGACAATGTAGCAAGACCCCATCTCTACAAAAAATAGAAAAGTTAGCTGCGCACAGTGGCATGTGCCTGTGGTCCCAGCTACATGGAAGGCTGAGGTGGAAGGATTGCTTGAGCCCAGGAGTTTGAGACTGCAGTGAACTTTGACTACACCACTGCACTCCAGCCTAGGCAACAGAGTGAGACCCAGTCTCTTAAAAAAAATAAATAAATAAATCAAGGCAAGCAAGTATCAGGGATGCAATGACAGGGTTTGGTGGATAAGGAATGTATAGATTAGGCTTCTGGAAAGGGAAGGGTGAAGAGTTTGGCAGAGATGAGAGGAGCATGGCAGTGGTCTCTAGGGAATCTTTGTAGAAATGGAAAGCTTGTATGGAATGGAAGCAAGCATATTAGTGATCCTTCCTCTCAAACCGGGTTCTTTCATTATCTTTCTCCTCCTAACCCTATGCTACCCATCCTTTGGAAGCTCTTTCACCTGAATCCCTTGTACTGGAGTGTATTAGTCCATTCTCACACTGCTATAAGAACATACCCAAGACTGGGTAATTTAGAAAGGAAAGAGGTTTAATTAACTCACAGTTCTGCAGGGCTGGGGAGACCTCAGGAAACTTATAATCATAGCAGAAGGGGAAGCAAACATGTCCTTTTCATGAGACGTCAGGAGAGAGAAGAATGAGAGCCAAGCAAAAGGGGAAGCCCCTTATAAAACCATCAGATCTCGTGAAAACTTACTATCACAAGGATAGCATGGTGGAAACTGCCCCATGAATCAATTCTCTCCCACTGGGTCCCTTCTATCACATGTGGGGATTACGGGATCTACAATTCAAGATGAGATTTGGGTGGGGACACAGCCAAACCATATCATTTCACCACTAGCCCCTCCCAAATCTCATGTCCTCACATTTCAAAACACAATCATGCCTTTCCAACAGTCACCCCAAAGTCTTAGCTCATTCCAGCATTAACCCAAAAATCCAAGTCCAAAGTCTCATCTGAGACAAGACAAGTCCCTTTCCCTATGAGCCTGTAAAATCGAAAGCAAGTTAGTCACTTCCTAGATACAATGGAAGCACAGGCATTGTGTAAATACACCCATTTGAAATGGGAGAAATTGGCCAGAACAAAGGGGCTACAGGCCCCATGCAAGTCCAAAATCCAATAGGGCACTCATTAAGCCTTAAAGTTCCAAAGTGATCTCCTTTGACTTCGTGTCTCACATCCAGGTCACACTGATGCAAGAGGTGGGCTCCCATAGCCTTGGGCATGGGGGTTCTAAACTATTAACTTATCACCCCAAATTTTGTGAGTCCATGAGCTACAAGTGCCCAGGTAGGCAACTTGTCTAACTAGCTAGACAAGTGACATAATGCCAGGCTGGCACAGGTAGCATCTAACAGGCAGAGCAGCCTGTGTTCAGTAGGGCAGAGTTGGCAGTAGCCCCAGTAGCCCCTCCAGAGCGCCTGCCCCTAGCAGGCCACCATACACAATGTTCACCTTCTCTCTGGCTGTCCTGGACTTGTTGCCCTGTATTCTCTTCTAAGGCCAATGCTCTCCTAAGGCCAATTCCAGCATCTCTAAATCACCTGCATGGTCAGGGCACACTGGCTCACACCTATAAGCCCAGCACTTTGGGAGGCTGAGGTGGGAAAGTCACTTGAGCCCAGGAGTTCAAGACTAGCCTGGGCAACATAGTAAGACCCTGTCTCTACAAAAAAATAAAAAATTAGGTGGGCATGGTGGTATGTGCCTGTGGTCCCAGCTAGTCGAGAGGCTGAGGTGGGAGGCTCACCTGAACTCAGGAGGTCGAGGTTGTGGTGAGCCCTGATCATGTCACTATACTCAGTATGGGTGACAGAGTAACACTCTGTCTCAAAAACAGAAACAAAACAATCACCTGCCTGAAAAACCTAAGCTAGTTATTC